TGCTGCCGTCTCACTGGGGCATCAGAGCTCCTGTCGTGTTAGAGGGGAGTCACATGCAGGCATGCCCCACAGGGTACAGTGTACCGGGGATGTTTATTGTTTTGCTTAAAGCTGATGTCCACTGCCAGTGTGCACTGTTTGTGAACAGGGTTTTCTGTGGGGCAGGGTGGTCTTCATTTGGCAGGTAGAGTGGGGAGAGCAGGGTGACGCCTGCAGGGCTCCTGGTCTTGCTGGTGGCACACTGCAGGGGTGCCTGGAGTGTGCACATGGTCTCATTGGCCCCCCAGGTCCTCACCTGCCTTCTCACGGAGCAGCGGGTCGTGTTCTTCTCCTGCAGCTGGGCACTGCTGACACTGGTGGCCGAGTGCTTCATGGTCTACCTGCACCCTCTGCAGTGGCAGCACACCTTTGTGCCCATCCTGTCCCGGCAGATGCTGGACTTCGTCATGGCGCCCACGTCCTTCCTCATGGGCTGCCACCTTGACCACTTTGAGGAGGTCAGCAAGGTGAGGCGTTGCCGTTGGGGTTACGACGTTAGGTTCTTGTGAGTGCCTGGTGAAACTGCTGGGTGTTTACTTGGAGGTGCCCCGAAGGGACGTGGGGAGAGGGCAGTCAGAGTGCCTTCGTGCTCCAGGCGCCACACGCACGTGGCAGAGCATCTCCTTGTCCCTGTACCATTCCCGGTGGGCTGTGGCGGGGGTGTTCACGGCCGTGGCCTCCTGAGGGCCAGCGCCCCGTGTCGCTCAGTCCACTTAAATTCACCCCAGCTCGCACGGCTTCCTGCACATTTTCAGTGAGGAGGCTGCAGGGGTCAGAGTGCGTGGACCCGGCTTCAAGCCTCGCCCCCACCGCTTCCTGGGTCTGCAGCCCTGAGTGAGTTACTCGCTGAGCCTCTGTGGCTGCCTCTGTGAAGTGGGCCTGGCACGTCCTCTTGGGCAGTACTGTGAGCCGAGGGCGGCCACTGCTAATGCTCGGCACACGGCTGGGGCGTGGTGGATGCAGCTGCTTTGGTACAGTCTCATATTTTTCTTTCCTTTTTTCTTGATGACGCTTCTGCTGTTCATTAATACCGTGGACTGGCCTTCCTCCCGGGACACGTGTGGACGTGCAGTCTGTTGTCAGCTTGTGGGTCCTGCCGCCTTCAGTGGCTGTCTACTCCCTGTCTACTCCCTGGGATCATGTTAAACCCTTCAGTGTCCCAGTCATAAGAGGGCATACAGTTGATCCTTGAACCAGCTGTAGGGTCAGGGACTGACCCATGTGGCCGAACATCGGCATATAACTTCAGACTCCCCAGACACTTACCTCTAATAGCCTGCTGTTGCCCGGAAGCCTTACTGATGCCACACATAGCTGAAGAACACGTATTTTGCATGTTATATGTATTGTGTACTGTATTCTTACAGTTAAGCTAAAGAAAATGTCAAGAAAATCGTAAGGAAGAGAAAATACATTTATAGTATCTGTACAGTATTTACTGAAAACAGTCCACGTGTAAGTGGACCCGTGCAGTGTGCCAGCGTGGTTAATAGGGCAAGGATTGGAGGAGTCGGGACAGCACCTGGCATACAGTAAGTACTTAGTAAGTGGCAGCTGTTCTACTGTAAAGATGACTGGAGGTGGCATACATTTAGATGGTGGGCTGATATCATGGGTTGGTAGTAAATATTGTGATTTTGCAGCAGGCAGAGCACGTTTGGTTTTTTACAGTAGCTTTATTCACAAGGTATACATGACAGAGTTTACTCCATTAAAATGGACAGTTCAGTGGCTTTTCGTACTTTATACAGGTGTGTCAACCAATTTTAGATTATTTTCATCAGCCCACAAAGAAACCCTGTGTACACTGGTGGTCACCCCGTTCTGTCCTCCCCCAACGCCTGGAACCAAGACTACTTTCTGTCTCTGGGTGTGTCTGTTCCATATACGTGGAATTTATGTGAATGGGGCCATCCAATATGTAGCCTTTTGTGTCTGGCGTCTTTCATGTAGCATACTATTTTTGAGCAAGTAGCAGGACTTTATGTTGCTGAATAGGTTCCGATCATATGAATCAGCCATTTTGTTTATCCCTTCATCAGCGGGTGGACATTTGAGTTCTTTCTGCCTCTTGACTGTTGGAATGCAGCTGTGAGCATTCATGTACAAGTTCTTGTGTGGATATATGTTTTGTTTACCTCGGGTACATACCTAGGAATGGAACAGCTGGGCCCGGT